GAGCTGCAGGAGGGCGGGTCTGTCCCTTTCCTGTGCACAGCCAGCGGCCTGGGAAGCAGGAAGGAGGAAGTCAGCCTCAGGAGACCATGCCCCCCAGGACAGGGCGCTGAGCCGGAGGCAGAGAGATGAGGTCACTGGCTCACCCTCTCTGCACCTGCCCAGCCCCCGGCTCAGCCCCCTCTCAGCTCTCACCCGCTGCTCCCCACCCTCCCGAGGACCCAGCACAAAGCTCTGTCTACATCTGGGAGCGGTGCTCCACCGGGGTGCAGACCGTCTGGGCAGGACCCAGCACACAGACGGCCCGGACGCGGCGTCACTTCTCGGGGCGGCGTCCGGAGGGACACCCCAGGGGCAGGGTCGTCGCCGGGGACCGGCATCCTCGGGGACTGAGGAATCGGAGCAGCTCTCCCTATGCTTTTAGCCAGTTTTCTTGTTGTTTTCCTTTACTTTTAATTTCCTCAGTTAAAATAATGTACACACTACTTAAAGACAAAGAAGCAGCTCCAGCAGGCGTACCGGAAACGCATCCCTGTGCGGCCGCCCCACCCAGAGGGCCGCTGGCTGCCCCCAGCCCGGCCCCTGGCTCACGCCTGCTCGGAGGTGTCAGCTGCTAAAGTCTGAAGGTCGTTCCCAGTGCCCTCACGCCACCTCTCCACACCCCGTTTCCGTGCCAAGTAGAGGTAAAGCTCAAGGTTTGTTTGTGGTTTGTTTTTGTTTTTAATTTTTTTCTACATTACTTTTTTTTTTTAATCCTCACCTGAGGATTTTTTTAACATCTATCTTCAGACAGGGAGAGAGAGAGAAACATCGATGTGAGAAACACATGGATTGGTTGCCACCCGCATGACCCAAGCTGGTGCCAAGAACAAACTGCAGCCAAGGTACGTGCCCTTGGCCGAAATCGAACTCGGGACTCTGGTCTGCAGGCCGACACTCTAACCGCTGAGCAAAACCGGCCAGGGCTAGAGCTCAAGGTTTTTGTTTGTTTCAAATATGTTTTTATTTACTGTTTTAGAAAGAAAGGGAGACAGAGGTAGAAACATCAATGAGAGAGAGAAACACTGGCCTCCTGCACGCCCCCCACTGGGGATCTGGCCCACACCCGGGCACGTGCCCTGACCAGGAATCGACCAGAACCTCTCTGGCCATGGGACATGCTCAGCCTCTGAGCCTCACCGGCTGGGCAAAGCTCAAATGTTTGCTCAGCCAATAATCACTTTGCATTATAATGTCTCTGGAACCAGTGTTTACTTCTAAGCCTCCAGTGTACTTCAGTTTTTTAGTATAATGTTTATTTTTCCTGGAATTCATGACCACCCTGTTAGTTTTACTTGCTTTGTTCTCTGTCTTCATACTTCATTTTTTTCAAGTGATTCCAAGGATTAGCCTGAGCTCACGTTCCTTTCCAGGAACACTGCTGTGTGCGGCTGTCTGTCCCGCCCGCGTCACCCTGGCCCAGCGGGGCAGCCCTGGGCTCCCACCCGCTCCTCTTGTTGTTCCCTAAATGAGACACTGCCTCCGGCGTCCTCCCAAAGCAGGGTTCACGGGAAACATTCCCTGAGCCTTCTGATGTGTCTGGAAGTGCCCCGACTCTGACATCACATGTGGTCAGTAGCTTGGCAGGGTCTGGACGCTGTGTCCTCCCCTCGGCACGCAGCATGTGGGGCTACTGTCCAGAAGGCGGGTCGCGCTCTGACACCCAGCCCTCTGTGTCTGTCCTTCCCACCCAAGGCTGCGGGTCCTCTGAGCCCTGGTTCTGGCCACACCCCTGTGTGGGCACTGCTGAGCCCTCTCTCCTGGAACATGATTGGACTACCTGGATGGACACACCCTGGTGGAGGGGGTCAGGCGGAAAGCCCCTCTGTAGCAGGGGACCCCAGATGTCCCGTAGGAGGAAATTCGCCCTGCGGTAGAGGCCCTGCGGTTTCCTGAGTGTGGGGTCAGGTCAGCCTGGTGGCTGCAGCTGGGACACCTTTGAATGTGCAGACGGTCCCTCTGCCCCTGCCCCTGCCCCTGCCCCGTCTGAGAAGGCACATCGGGTCTCATCCTGGGCAGGGAGCTGCCTGGATGCTGGGAGTCAACCGCCCAGGGGAGTCTCTTTCCCACATCACAACACGCCACCACTCACTGCTGGCCAATGCCTTCCTTCCCGTTTGACAGACAGGAACCGTTGTGTCTGCAATGCATCTAATGGACAAGAAAGCCGGGCAAGGGAGACAGGAACAGGTTTGGGCAGAGGATGTGGCCGGAGCTGTCTGCCAGTCTTGGCAGCGGGGTGGACAGGCAGGTGGAGGTGGGGCCGGTGTGTGAGCTCCTGAGGAGGCCGTCAGAGTCCAAGGCTGCCTGCCCGACATGGGCTCCCAACCACCCACGCGCATGCCAGGAGGAGAAGTAGGCAGTGACCAGGGCTGCAGCCCCACAGGCAGGTCCCAGAGTCCACCTGGTCCTTATCCACCCCCACAGGCAAGAGCATGGCAATGTCTGAGCAGAGAAGGGGCGGCACATCCCCCCCAGTCACTCAGCCATGGGCCAGCCCCGACTCCGTCCAGCCAGGCCAGCACCCAGGGGTGCAGCAGGGACCAAGGTGGTCCATGGGGAGCCGTGGGGTCAGTGGGAGGCTCCAGGGACTCAGTCACCACCTCTGTCTCCACCAGAGAGCCCACACACCTCTCCTGCAGCCTGCCAGACCCACCGAGCAGATGGCACCTTCAGGGGCCCTCCAGCGACTCCGTCCATGGAGCCCAAGCCCTCCAACACCCAGACCCCCGACAGAATCCGTTCGGTTGTCTAGCGGGCACAGGGCGCCTTTTGCTATGGGGCTTTACACCAGCCGGCATGGCCTCCCACCCTCCTCACGACTCGGTGTGTGACCCTGGCAAGTCCCGTGCCGTCTCTGGGCTGCGGAGAGAGGAACCTAGAAGACAGGTGGCCTGCCCCCTCAGGCGGGGAGGGCTCCCCTCTCCTGGTTCTCTAGTCCTAGCTGAGGTCACGGGGGCCTTTGTCTCTGAGCTGACATCTGGATGGCTGGAATGACTCAGAACCAGGGCCTCTGGGAGGTCCAGCTGGCCGCCCCTGGGCTCAGGCACCATGCTGGTCAACAGTCCTCCTCCGACGGGGTCCGTGAGGGTCTGGGGCAGCTGGCCCTCCACACCCGCCCCTCATGTTGGGGCAGTGGCGGTGCTGACTCCGGACCTCAGGCTGAAGGAACCACAGGGGGACACACACAGGGGTCCCCTCTGTGCATGCCATGTCCTTGCCCTCAGAGGTCATCCTTAAGCCAGGTTGAGCCTGGGTGGCCTTGGCTGGGGACAAAGGTCTCTGTCAGCTAACGTGTGGTATTCTGTGTCCAGGGTGCAGTGGGGCTCTGTGCAGCCCGGCCTCCTGGGGCCCGAGCAGGTCTGGCGGTGGACAGGGTGTATACCGGCAGCCTGCATGCGGGTTTTGCGGACGCCTGTTTCTGTGCGCCCTGCCTGCTGCTCTCTGCCCACCTGCCTGTCTTGTCTTGGTCGGGATTTGTGAGGATCTCACACTTGGTCTCTAAGGAGGTTGGCCCTTGGGTGAATTGACCTCCCTGGTCCCAGCCACATCTGAGGACTTTCTCACTGGCCACACGCCCCACCTGTGATGACCCCTGGGAACGTCTAGGCAGCTGCTTCAGCTCCCAGGGCTTGGTGTTCTCTGCTCGGGGCTGACGGTGCTGTGTGAGCCCACTGCCCTGAGACACCGTCCATCTGAGGCCCAGGCACCCTCCTGTCTCACCCCGCAGAGGCATACACCTGCTTGGTGCACACAGGAGCCAGCTCCTGTGCGTCCGCTCCCCGCCCCAGGATGAGCACAGGGCCCGTGACGCCCCGGCTGTGTTAGAGGCCCCAGAGGGAGCCGTGTCTGCAGAACTAGGCTGCCCTGGGAGGAGGCACTGGCTGAAGACGAGGCCAGGGTCAGCAGATGAAGTAGAGAGGGAAGAGAACGGCCCATGCTAAGGCCCTGGGGTGTGTCCAGGAGCCAGGGAGAGGGCCAAGAAGAGGTTATCTCTATTGGTACCTCACTGTGACCTTTGTCCTTTTTGGTTACCATGCCCATCCCCCAGGGCCCTTCCCCCAGTCAGTTCAGGGCAGTGCCCACAGACCCTGCAAGGTGCCTTGTGCCCCAAGGCTCCCTGAGCAGCATGAGGGGCACTGGATGAGTTGAGCCTTGCTGCGGAGGGAGGCGTGTGGGTGCACATCCGGGCCCTGGTTCTCTTTGCCGTCAGTCTGCCAGCCCTGCCAGCCCTGCCAGCCCTGGAGGAAGGGCCTCCAGGCACAGCTGGTGAAGCCCCGCACACGGGGCCGTCACGGGGACATTGGCGACCGCCCCACAGCTCACGGTGTCTTGGTGCCATGGGGCCAATCACAGCACATTCTGAGGGATGTGAGTCATGATTGACACCTGTCACGGGGGAAGGGTGGGGGCAGAGCCTCCCTTGAGCCATTGCTGTCGTCCTGCGGACACTCCTTGTGGACAGCGGGAGGTGGCTTCCTGAGGAACGGCAGCTTCGTGCATGGCAGCAGTTCTCGGGGGACCACGTGAGTTCCGAAGGATCGCTCACCCCAGGCACCTGGGCTGGGGTCTGCTGTGCCGCCACCCCGCGGGGCCTCTGGGGAGCCTGGGTTTGGGTGAGAGGCCCTGACCCAGGCCTGCCCATGCAGCCAACTATGGGTGATTCCTGCTGGATGGCCCTAAGCCTGCCGCTGTAAACAGCTCTTTAAACCACTGGTTCTGAGCGGCATGGGCTCCGGGTCACCTGCTCCGGGGGGAAGCCCAGAGAGCCTAGGCCTTTGGCAGGGCGCCCAGGCCGGGCCTGCAGGACAGTGTGACGGTCCCGCTGCGCCTGCCGGTGGCGGGTTTCTCACGTGGGACTGTGCTGAGGCCTCAGTGTTGTGGTCTGTGGCCAAGGAGAGTTCTGGAGACCCAGGGTGGGGTCCCAGCCCGGGTCCCTGCCCTCACCCCCTGTCTCCCTGCAGGAAGTTCTACTACATCACCCTCCTCCGGGACCCTGTGTCTCGCTACCTGAGCGAGTGGCGGCACGTGCAGCGCGGGGCCACGTGGAAGACGTCCCTGCACATGTGCGACGGGCGCACGCCCACCCCCGAGGAGCTGCCGCCCTGCTACGAGGGCACGGACTGGTCCGGCTGCACGCTGCAGGAGTTCATGGACTGCCCCTACAACCTGGCCAGCAACCGGCAGGTGCGCATGCTGGCCGACCTGAGCCTGGTGGGCTGCTACAACCTGTCCTTCATCCCCGAGGGCAAGCGGGCGCAGCTGCTGCTGGACAGCGCCAAGAAGAACCTGCGGGGCATGGCCTTCTTTGGCCTGACGGAGTTCCAGCGCAAGACGCAGTACCTGTTCGAGCGGACGTTCAGCCTCAAGTTCATCCGGCCCTTCATGCAGTACAACAGCACCCGGGCGGGCGGCGTGGAGGTGGACGAGGACACCGTGCAGCGGATCGAGGAGCTCAATGACCTGGACATGCAGCTCTACGACTACGCCAAGGACCTGTTCCAGCAGCGCTACCAGTACAAGCGGCAGCTGGAGCGCAGGGAGCAGCGCCTGCGGAGCCGCGAGGAGCGGCTGCTGCATCGAGCCAAAGAGGCGCTGCCGCGGGAGGCGGCCGAAGAGCCGGGCCGCGAGCCCACCGAGGACTACATGAGCCACATCGTGGAGAAGTGGTAGTGGCGGCCCCGGCCCCGGGGGAGGCCCTCGGGCGGGCAGGGAGGGCAGGGACATCAGACAGACAGACAGAGGAGTGGGCGGCTCAGGGGCGCCGTCCAGCCCCGGATGTGGGGAGCGGCCCAGCCGCTCCCCCGAGGGGAGGTGCGTCCTGAACAGAGACCAGGGACAGGCCACGCTGGCCCACGGGGCTGGTTCTAGTGTCTCCCGGGCCCGGGGTCTGGGAAACCAGCCTGTGCACTCCTGGCTCAGAGGAGAGCGTGCGTGAAGGGTGCCCCAGTCAGGCCTGCACAGACCAGGGCCGGTGGTCCCCACTCTCCAGGCCCCACTCACTTCACAGCAGCTAAACTTTGCAGACAGGAGAAGGACCGCAGCCGAGCGTGGGGGGTGGCCTGCCTGCCCAGGGCATGTCCATGCCCACTGCACACACCCAGGCTCCTCTCACCGGCCAGCAGGGGTTCCCCGGGCTCCCGCCGTCCCAGTGGCCTTGCTGCCCCAGGCCTGCATGAAGCCCCCCTCAGGAACACGGGCCACCCATTGGGGTGTTGTCAGGGCCACCCTGCTGAAGCCAGGAAGACTGGAGCCCAGCCCCTGGGAGCCCCTCCCTGCTCTGCTTCCTGTTTTGGGTCAGGAGATCAGGGCACACCTCCTGGCTCCCTACCCCTTTTCCGAAGTCGAAGTCGTGGGACAGAGGAGGCTGTGGAGACGGGTCCAGGAGTGGGGGCTGCGTCCCAGCTGGCCTTTGAAGTGACCACCAGTCAGCCCAGCTCAGACGTGAGGGGATGGTAACCATAGGCTCTGCCCTGATCTTTCTGGCCCCTGGCACTGGCCAGCGGGCTGGCCGGCCCCCACGTGTGGACGGCCAGCTCCACCCCCATTGGGGAGCACGCCAGGGCCGTGCCTCAGGACCATGGCGTCCTGGATGGCCGGGGGAGGGAACTCGGGCTTTCAGGGTCTCCGCTGGGGTGAGAAGTGGCCCGAGGTGGCTCCCCGATACCCACATTCACGGCCGTCCCCACCCCAGACTCTCCCTGCATTTTCCTGCTTCCCCACCCCCAAAAGCTGGTCAGGCCTGTTCCCACAGCCCTGCAGATCGGAAAAGCCATGTTCTGAGGCCAAACCAGTGTCTTCCCTGAGCTCGCCCTCCCGAAATAAGGCCCCGGACTTGGGCTCTAGGGTTGAGTGTGAGCCCCGCATGGAGATGGGTGGGTGCCCCTCTCTCCAGGAAAGGAAGCTCAGGCCCGCCTCGAGGGGGCAGTGAGGGCCGTGGCCACCTGGCGAGGGGCCAGCACGGGCAGCAGCCTCACAAGCAGTGCTCTCTGTCCCAGGTTCCCTCTGGCACCCCAACTGCCGTGCCAGGGAGCAAGGAGTGGGGAGCAGGGAGCCCTCACAGCACAGGAGCAGCTGAGTGGGTGTCAGATGAGGTGACTGCCCAGAGGAAACAGTCAGTCTTTTGGCCCCCTGCACGGGCCACCTCTTCTGTGTCCAGAGGCAGAGCGGCTGGGGGTTGGGGTGGGCCCTGCACCAGCCCAGCCCAGGGCCATCCCCAGGAGGGCAGTCTTGCTCAGGAGCATGCCCCCAGGTAGTGTAATGAATGGCTCGTGGAAGGAAGGGGGCAGTGTCTGCTCTGATGCTCAGCATTGGGGTCCGGCATGCTCCCTGCGGGAAGGTGGACATGTTCATGGGGGCGGGGGAGAGGGTGACTCCAGGGTGTTCTGCCCCAGGCCTGGCTCCAGATGGCTGTCCTTGAAGTGGTGCTGGGGTACGAGCCGGCCTAGGATCCGTTCTGTGTGTCGGGGTGTGTTAACCTCAGCCTGTTGTCCAGTCCACCTGGAAACACTCACTGCATCCGGAAAGCAGGCCCGTCTCAGGCCAGTGTCCAGGCTGAGGTGCCCAGAGGTGGTTCCAGTTGGCAGTTCCCTCAGCCCCTCCGGTCCCCAGACTGGCACTTCACATGGGGGCTGCCTGCTGGGGGGAGGTTCCTGGTGTCTACAGTGTCTCCGGGCCCAGGGCACAGGGCGGCCCCACCTGGGAGCTCGTCCTCAGCAGGACAGACGGACACATGCAGACACACAGCCTGCAGCCCTCTCCTGGGAGTGCACCCGGGATGACAGCTGTCCAACTCAGAACGTTTTCAGGAACTGGACGTGTTAACTTGAACCCAGGAGCATTTAAAGCTTTATTTATTTATAACTTCTTGTTTTAAAAAAAAGTGTTGAGAAGAAATCTTTGGTTATTCCTACAGAACACAAGTTGATGGAAAACAAGTCATAATCACCTAATTGTTGTGTTTAGGGCAGGAGTGAATGTTAGCCGATGAAATAAACCCTGGAAAGAGCCTCGGGCGTGCGTGGTCTGTGGGCAGCCATCTGCCAGTGTGCGAGCAGGGCCTCTGGCCGGATTCCCAAGACGAGCATCCAGGACACAGGCCTTGGTGCCGGAGCAGAGGGACCCCCTCTCTCTCCCCAGGTGCAGGGCCCCGGTTTTTTTGTTTGTTTGTTTTTGTTTTTAAATTGATTTGAGAGAGAGAGTAAGGGAGAGAGAGAGTAAGGGAGAGAGGAGAGAGAACATTGATTGGCCACCTCCTGCATGCCCGCCACTGGGGATTGGACCCACAACCTGGGCCTATGCCCTGACTGGGAATCGAACCTGCAACCTCTTGGTTCAGGGGTCACCGCTCAGCCACTGAGCCACACCGGCTGGACAGGGCCCAGTTATTAAACACACAGTTTCACTACCTAATGCTCTGCGGAAATAAAAGATGGGATTATCGTCACCACAGAGTAACTGATTCGTCATTAATGACAGTACGTGAAGGACCAGCCCAACTGAAAGGCAGGATGAGGTGGACACCATGTGCTTGCCTCCTGGGTGACCCCTCTCCCTGGGCTGTATGTGGCTCAGACCTCAAGTCCTGAGGGGTCTCCTCCTCCCGCTTCCCAGAATCTGTATCTGAGATCTGGACCTTCCACACGTGGGAAACAATTGGGGGAGGGGCCAGGTGGCTGAGTGTCCGCTGCTCCTGGAGGGGAAGGGCGGGCCCATGTATGGGTGGAGGGGGACTGAAGCCCAGGACTGATAGCCAGCACCCACAAAGTCCTGTTTCCAGGCACCAGAGCGTTCTCGCCGGGGGGGGGGGGGGGAGATGGAGGCAGGAATGATTGCCCCTTAGACCCTGTTCTTGAGGGGTCTGAACTCCCTGGTCCCTGTTTGATCTCAGCAGAGTCTTGCAAGGTCAGAGCACAGTGTGGAGAGACCCCTCTGGGGACAGTTCATCTGGGGCCCCACCTGCTCCTTCCTCAAGAACACATGATGGAAGTGCCCTTCACTTGGGGGGCTCCCTTCGGCTGTACTGGGCCAGAGTGTGATCAGACAGGTGAAATCAGCCAGAAAATACCTACACCCGAGGTGGGTTGTTCATCCTACCTGTGCTAGATGGGAGACTGCTTCTGCCTGAGGCCCAGGAGGCTGCCGTTCCCATCGGACCTTTCACCATCCCTGCCCTCCACAAGCTCCCCTTTGCCGGCCCAGCCTGTTGGTCCCACCCACGCCCCACGTCCCTCTGCTCCCCGGCACTGCTGGGCAAGCCTGCTGGCTCCTGGGCCTCTGGGTTTGGACGATTCTCCCTCCCCTGTGGCCAGCCGCCACCCAGCCCCATGGACCCCACCCCTGCTTTCCAAACTGCCCACTCTTCACCTCGGGTGATCAGCAGCTGCTGCTTCCTGGGGTTGGGGCCTGCTGCCGACATTCTTTCCCCGATCCTTGTCTCCGAAGGCCCCGGGAGCATTCACCCTCTCTTCGCTCCTCCCAAGGGAAGTGGTCCTGACCTCAGCTGCCTCCCTGTCTCTCCCAGGTGAGGGAGCTCCGGGGACTGGAAGTGGGACTTTGGGTGTGGGGTCCGCTTACAGTGTGCCCCATGCTCCCAGCCCGGAGTACTCGGGCTTCCTGGGGACTTGGGCCAACCTTGACGGAGAGAAGCCTGCTGTTCCCTCCAGGACACACCCCTGGTCTGGGGGACCTCCAAGCGGGCACTGGATGCAGCCATGTGGGGACCCTTTGCCCAGCACCCTTTCTAGCTGACGGGATGCCCTCCTCACAAGCTCCTGCCCCCATGGACCAGGGTAGGCACTTTGACTGGGCCTGGCTTGGAGGTCTTCTCACACGTCCATGGAGACCCATTGCTGTTGGGAGCCAACTCGCAGCCCCCCTCTGTCCCTCAGCACAGAGAACATGTCAGGGTACAGCTTTGTTATCAAATCAGGGTTTGGGGTCCGGCAGTACCGCTGACCTGTTGGCCCTGCCCTGTGACATGGGAAGGTTGCTGTGGGCCCATCGGCTCTGGAAATAGATCCAGGCCTGGGCACTGATGTACCTCGAGCCGCCTTGCACTGCATCTCCACCCCTGAACCCAGACGCCTGCCAGAAGGGGGCTCGTTAGAGTGGAGTCCTGACCACGACCAGCCAGTCACACCCACTCCTCTTCCACCAGCAGAGCGAAGACCTGGGCCTCACCCCTCCGGCGGCCCCCGCCCCTCCTGCGGGCCCCAGCCCTCCTGCGGGGTCCAGCCCTCCTGCGGGGTCCAGCCCTCCTGCGGGGCCCCGCCCCTCCGGCGGCCCCCGCCCCTCCTGCGGGCCCAGCCCTCCTGCGGGCCCCAGCCCTCCTGTGGGTCCAGCCCTCCTGCGGCCCCGCCCCTCCTGTGGGTCCAGCCCTCCTGCGGGGCCCCGCCCCTCCTGCGGGCCCCAGCCCTCCTGTGGGTCCAGCCTCCTGCGGGGCCCCGCCCCTCCTGCGGGCCCCAGCCCTCCTGTGGGTCCAGCCCTCCTGCGGCCCCGCCCCTCCGGCGGCCCCAGCCCTCCTGCGGGCCCAGCCCTCCTGCGGGTCCAGCCCTCCTGCGGGCACACCTAAGGACTGTTTTCTTGTTCCCCTCAAAGAACCGAGATAGCCTTCGAAGTCCCCAGCCCACCAGCCCCCTCCGTCCCCATTGGTCAGTACCATCCTGTGAGGGTAGATGATACCCGCTGCATTTTCCCCGTCAAACAGGACTGAGGACCCTCTGGTCTCATGCCCGCGGGGCCTCCCACTCCAATCTACACGGGCCTGGGGTCTTCCCACCAGGCCTCAGGCTCAGGGCCGTCCCCGGGCAGGCCCAGCAGAGGGGTCTAAAGTTATACAGCACTTCCCAGACTCCCCCCGAAAATGTGCCCTTTTAAAGAAACTATTCACACCCGGACTTTGTTCCCATTTTCTCTGAAATGGAGCTGATTTTTCTTGATTTGTTTGTTCAACTTAATAGTCTCTCCTGGTTAGAACTAGTGTATTAGGAGTCCCCCTGTACTCTAGGGGGTATTGGAGCCCAAGGGACACTGCTGTGCTCCAGCGGTGGCTGGCAGGGTGCTCACACGTGGCCCCCGCCGTCCCGCTACCTTGTGGATAGGCCGCCAGCCTTTGTCTCAGCGACTCCGCTGCGGAGGGCTCAGGGCAGTTGGGACTCTGTCGCCAAGGCGTGGGTAAGACCCAGAGATCCCTCTGAGGGGGCCGGTCTGTCCCCACCTCAGCTCTCTTGGGCTTCCAGCCCCTCCCCCTTCCACAGGCCCCTCTGCCCCACCCCGTTGCATGGGGTCCCTAACCTCCCCCACAAGTCCCCCACCCACCATGCACCCACCAGCCCCTGGAGGCCTGCTCTCTGTGTAATTTGCCAGCCGACCGGTTCCCTGCCCCTGTAGCTAGCTGGCTGGACGTTGTCCCTCTCTGGGTCCATGCTGTTTCCAAGGCCTGGCTCTGGCAAAAGCTATGGGTGTGCAGTGCTGAGTCCCAGGGCTCCGCCTTTCCATCTGCCCGAGGGCTCCCCCACCCCAGTGCCCCCACAGAGCCTCCTCCCTCCCCCGGCCCCTCCTCACTGCCCGTCCTCCTGCCCCCATCTGTGGCTCATCGGCTCATTGGAACCCTGGGGTCTCTGTAAAAGGAAGCCCAGGGACTGTGGGAAACACTTTTGTTTCTCAAACAAAGGCCAGGCATTGGAGAGGAGGCCTCTGCGAGGTTCACGGGAGCCTAACTTCTCCCGGAAGGGCAGGCTTTGTTCTGGACGGGCTGCCTTCCCCCAGGAGCCCGGGCGCTGGATCAGGCCCTGGGGTTCCAAACAGTCGTTTCCAGGACTGAGCCCGGGAGCTTGGCGCTGGCACAGAGGGGCAGGCCTCTCCCTCGGGGTGCTGGCTCTAAGGGCCTGGGCTCCGGCAAGGGCTTCCAGGGGGATTAGGCTTCCAGCTGAATGACTCACACTGTTCTGTAGGAAACAGCTTGAAGCACCGCTGGGCTTTGCGCGCCCGGAGAACAGACAGGCGCTGCGTGGGGTGTGGCCAGGCTGCTCCTTCTCTGCCGCCCTCCATTCCGGAAGCAGTGTTTTCACTTCAAGGGATTTAAAACCCGGGCATCACAGCAGAGTCTGCTCCTTGTCCCTTGATACTTATCTCCCCCTCCTTCCTCCATATATCCGTGGGAACACAGCCAGACAGTCCATTAAGACGACATACACTTCCCAGCCCCTCACGGTGAAATGTGGCTTCACCACTAAGCTCTGGCCAAGAGGAGGCTAGAGGAGATCACACCTGCAGCTTTGGGAAGCAATCCTGAAGAAGCAGTGGGCCCTTCTGCCTCTCATCCTCCTTCCTAACAGCTGGAATGAGGATGTGATGGCTGGAGATCCGCAGCTATGTTGGACCATGAGGAAGAAGCCTTGTGTTGAAGGCAGAGCAAAGGGATAGGTCACTGATGATTATGGAACCACCCTGCGGCTCTGGGCTGCCTCCCTCCAGCCTTATTCATGTAAGAGAGACGTAAACATGCACCTTAGTTACTTAGCTGCTGGTTGGGGTTTCTGTCAGTTCCCCCTAAAGCTAAACCAAACCATGATGGGCCACACAGCACAGCCACTGAAAATGGAATTCCTGCGAAGGGGCCCCTGCTGGGGAGGCTCTGCTTCAAGACCTCTCACCTGCTGCTCCTGGCTTCGTGCCCCGGGTGTGTCACCTTGCCAAGCGGAAGGGCGCTTCTCTCTGTGTGCCCTGTGCTACCTTTTGAGTTTTGAAACATGTGAATACATCACCTATTCAAAACATAGCTGAACATAAACACAAAGCAAAGTGGGAGATAAATGCCTAATTCATGACTGGTTTTTCTCAAGATTTGAAGAACAGGGAGAGGGTGGGACTCAGGCTGGAGGAATAAGGACATTTCAACTTTGTCGGTAACATTTTATGTGTTATAGTTAGTTAGAAAATAAGCAAATGAAAGAGTATCAATGGCCCTGGCCGGTTTGGCTCGTTGCTTGGAGCACCGGCCTGCAGA